GTACATTTTCAGTTTGATATGTAGCACTATTCAAAGTGAAAGAAATTAAATCAAATATGTAATTGCTGTTTAACAAAGAGCCGGATATTTATTCAATACGGTTTTTAGAAACTCGCCAACCTAGACTGCCTTTATCGTGTCGCAATTGGAAAAGCTGTGGCTAATTTTGCGGCCGCAGCATTACCAGCGTAAAGAAAGCTTTGCAACTTGCAAGAAAGCGAAAACATAGCCTTGGAACTGTTTTATTTGAATAATTTAAATAAAAAACTTCAGAGCTGCTTGAAATCATAATGGATGATCTCAAGTTAAGTCATGTTTCATAAGGATCAATGACGTTAGGTTTCCGGAATTATGATGGTTCTTTTTGTTTCCATTTCTTTTTTTGAAAACAACCTTCTTCGCTTAATACATCTGGATAATCAACTTTTTCCTTACCTAATGATCAAATCAAAATTGAAAAATGCCTTTTATTCGGACTCATATGGCACACTAGACATAGCAAAGGAAGCAGAGTTGAATTATAAGTGGGTGAAAACGCAGCTGTCGAAAGTCATTTGACAGTTTTTCATGAGGATGACTGGATCTCTGGTGATTTACATTCGCAGGAATACCGAAATCCAACTTAGGACAGCAGGAAAGTGTTCTGTGGGGCAACAGCAACGGCTAAAATGGTTGTTATTTAATCGGTTGATTCCAAAAGAACATGACTTTTTTCATATGGTCATGCCACTTTCCATATGGAAGTTTGACAACAGACCTTCCAGTTACTTGGATGCCAAATTTGAATTCAGACAGTGCTAATATGGGCAAACCATGGCTCGGTTCACTTAGAGCCGCACACAAAAAAATGGTAAGAGAGGTGTTTAGAATATATTAATTTTGCTTTTCTGGATTGACATCTCACGAGATGAAGAAACGTTTATGGCGTATTGCTTTAAGAAACGCAATGCAAAAACCGTCGAGGTGTGGAAGGAAATCGAAGATATAAGAACAGCTTGTGTAAAAAGAAATAGGGTGCAATTAATCCAATAACATTCTTACGGCAGCCAAAAATCAGTAAATTATCTTAGCTTCATTTGGGAATTATTTTAGCTTCATTTGGCTTTTTTCTTAGAACGAGGAAAGAATGTGGTGGGGTATTTTTATCATCTTGCTAACCCAATAAATATTTATCACTATTCACAGGAAGTCAGGTAAGAAATGGTTGAAGCAGCGAGAACTTCAATCAACCAGTTGAAAACGTTTATTACACGGAGAGTCAGTATTGTTTTTAGCGCATTTTCAATCTTATTTATCTTCGAACAATCTTCTCGAGGCAGTTGTGTTTTTGTGTAGGGTGGAGTCTGCAGCCGACAAACTTTCTAGCGAGATTAAAATTGTTGCAAATAACAGCAAGAGGGGCTGTTACTATATTGATTATGGCTGTTACTATATTGATTATGGCTGTTACTATATTGATTATGGCTGTTACAAGGTTCATCTTATAACGCTCAGATACTTCGTGAAAAGAGGGATCGGAAAGATGGTAATAAGATGACGCTAGACCTTCCATCGAAGAGTTGTACGCTATGAGTTCTCTTAAAAAATTTCACTCGGAGTCGCAGATGGTACTGTATACTGATAAAGCTATAGGCAAAAGAAATGCACCAAAAAAACTGCCGATATTACGTTGAGAAGACTTTCAAAAATTAGGTAAAAGTAAATAAGTTTTATTGCCTCAGCTAACAAAGACATTTCGCAGATAGGATGTTCCCCCGCACTTGCAATACCTGACATAACGAAACGACGAAACGACATAACGAAACGACGAAACGACATAACGAAACGATATAACGCCAAGACGAGACGACGAAACGACAAAACGACGAACCGATGTGGTCGGTGACGAGTCGGACTCGTAAAATGACGAGTCGAAGAGGCCAGCCGACGAATCGAACTAAGAATGCGACGAAACGAACTCACGAAGCGATGAGTCGACTTCTAGAACGGCGACTCGAACTGGAAGTTCGACGAGTCGAACTCGGAAAGAAAACGACTCGATTAATAGTAACGGAGTGCAGACACGACGAAACGCCATAACGAAACGACGACTCGAACATTTTGTCCAGGATCTACCATCATAGGAAGTAGCTAATACAGATTAATGGGTTTATGTTAGAGAAATGGCCCACTTTTGTCATTTTACTTTGGGTAAGCTAAGTGGATTTAATTTAGCTTCAGTTAAGTTTAGTTGACTCTTCATAATGTTATTTATACTGCTCAAAGTATAAGAGAGTGGCAAGAATTGAACCTTTCTCCAGAATACCTTTCTGGTATCTAACACGCAGTCCAATAGCCACGAGGCGCTCATAGCTGACAACGCTCAAAGTCATAAAAGACACTCCAAAGCAAATGAAAAAAGCCGAATTGTAGGTTATCCTCACAAAACAAGGAACTAATCGACGCTGGTGTTCCATGAGCCTGTATGTGATATACCTAGGCTGGACTGTTAAAGCTACGAACACATCAGAAAGCGCTAATGAAGCTACCAATAGATTAGAAGGAATTCGTAGACAAGGAGAGCTGAAGATGGCGGTGACGTTCAGTAAATTCGTAATAACGCCGACTGGAGCTGTAACAGTGTTAATGATGACTGTAACAAGGTTGACTGTAAACCGTTCAGGAGCTTATTGAAGGATGGATCACCAAGATAGAAACAGAAAATTTCTTGCTCGGAGTTATTTTTCTCCATTTTTCAGAAGCCACTTCCCATACTATCAGATGACTTCTTCGAATGAAGATCAAAGCTGCAATGGCTTTATTGTATTCGAAATATCTTAATACATTAGTGCCCTGTTCCAAAACAAATAACCGTAATGCCCATTGCAGGAAATGTCCATTTAGTGCAGTTTGAGTTTGAGATAAATTTACTTTGTAAGAAAAAGAGATTAAATCCATTAAGTGATTGCTATTTAACAAAGAGGCGGATATTTATTCGAAAAGCTTTTAAAAATTCGCCAACCTAACCTAGACAGGCCTAATCGTGTCGCAGCTAAAAAAAAGACTGTGGCTAAATTTTTTTTTAGCAGCATTGCCAGCGTAAAGAAAGCTGTGCAGTATGCGAGGAAATAAAAATATAGCCTTGGGAAGGCTTTGTTTAAATATTGCTAATCAAAATCTTCAGTGCTGCTTAAAAACATAATGGGTTATCTCAAATTTAGTCATGTTGTATTAGGATCAATGGCGTTTGGTTTCCGGAAGTATGATAATTGTTTTTTGTTGTTGTTGTTGTTGTTTTTTTTTTCTTTCTTTTTTTTTTCAATTTCATTTGGAAACAACCTTCTCCGGTTCATATATTTGGATGATTAACTTTCCCGTTATCTAATGATAAAGTCAAAAATAAGAAACGCCCTTTAGTTAGACTATTATGGCACGCTTCACATAGAAAAGGAAGTAGATTTGAATTATAAGTTGGTAAAAGTGCAGCTGTCGAAAGTCGTTCTACAGTTTTTCAAGAAGAGAACTGACCGTCGATCTGGTGATTCACATTCGCGGGACTGGGACCGGATTTTGAACCTATTTGGTTAAAAAGTGTTCTGTGGAACAACGGCATCAAGCTGAAAGGGTTGTAGTTTAGTCGACTGATCCCAGAGAACATGACGTATTTCATCTGATTATGCCATATTCAAGATGGAAGTTTGACAACCTTCCGGTTACTTAGATGCCAAATTTGAATTCAAACAGTGCCAATAGGGCAAACTATTGCTCGGTTTACTTTGAGGCGTACACAATGAAATGTTTAGAGGGGTATTGAAAACAGATTTGCTTTCAGTCTGGAATGACACCCATGAATTGAAGAAACCTTTGTCGTGTGTTACTTTAGAGACAAAAAGCAAAAACCTCCGTGTAAGGTAGGAAAGCGAAATATAGGAAAACTTGGCTTTGAATTGTATCAGTCATCCAGCTGAGAATATGATAAAAAGAAAATAATTCAAATACTGGAAAATTATAGACGAACGATAGACGTTTCGGCCATGTCACACGGCCTTCATCAGGAAACTGCCGAGTCAGCCTGGGTCACGTAAGTGTCACGTGATATTATGTCTTATAGGAAAAATTGTGTTAAAAGAATCAGTGTGCAATTAGTCCAAAGATATTCTTATGGCAGTCGACTATAAGTAAATTATCTTTCCTTCATTTGGGAACACTCTTGAATTGAAAATTCGTGATTAGTTCACCTCGAATTATTTCGATCTCTAAGTATTTTCATAGACATATAAAGACAACATTGAACAAGACCTGATGAATGCGTTTTTGTGAAAGCGCTGATTGTTTCACCCCCGTATAGCTATTGTAAAATCATATTTTTCATTTTCTTTAGACCAGCGGGAACACTAAAAGGCACAAGACTTGTCATATCTGGCCTAACTGGCGGTATTATATGTGACATAGGCTCATTTCCTCGCCACCGTGTAATATCATCAGTGTCCTTGGAAGAATTAAGAACAATCAACCAACAAGGTCTATCAGTCTCTTGTTTTTCTATATATGGATTATTGCAATGTTGCATGGTGCAGCTTTGGGCAAATAGACCTGAGGTTAGAATAGGTTAGATCGTGCACAGAGAAGGGCGGCAAAGATTGTCTTGAAGACCAAAGATTTAGACGCTTAGAAGAATTAAAGTGGCTTTCCTTGTCTATGAGACGTGACATGCATACTATTAATTTAACTTTCAAATGCTTAAAGGGATCCCCTCCAATGTTTTTTAAAGATTCTTTTAAGGTTTTTAGAACTATCCATAACACGAGGGGAAGTGGGAAGAACTTAATGCTTCTCAAGGTGGGAACTGAGACTGCAAGGAAGTCTTTTTATTTTAATAGATCGAAACTTTTTAATGATATTCCTAATAAACTGAAGGATGTCAACTCAGTCATGATTTTTTAAACTCGAATTTTAGAATTCCATAGATCACAAGCTTTTTAATTACTTTTAAAGTTGGTGACTGTATTTAGGTTTTTTTCGTTTTTGTTGCAGGGCCCTTATTGATATCAGCATTTTATGCTGAAGAGGTCACCCTGGTTATATAACATTTATTATTATTTAATCAGTACTTCTCCTAAATTTATACCGAACGAACGAATGAATTATAAACAGAAAACTCATTTGCAGGTGCATTTCCCTCGCTTTCAAACGAAAACGCTATTTATTTGCAAAACATTTTGTTCAGTAGTGCTTTGACTGCGTGACGGATTTCCAGACTCTTCCAAGAACACACCATTGGATTCGTGCACGAGTTGAGAAAAGCAAGAGTTTCTGTCCAGCTGTAATGGTTGTAAGTCTTGATGTCTCTCTCCAATATCGAGGAATAAAGTTTTACACATAGGACAGGCATGTTAAACATCAAGTAGAGCCCAATGATGAAGGAGACACTTTTTGTCAAACTCATTTCTCGTTGCCTCTGCCTTTGACTCCATTCGGGAAGGTTAGGGTTGGCAGGTTGCATTCGTCTTCGATTTTGGCACGTATTAAAAATGATTCCCACGTTTGCCACTGCAGCGATAACAAGAGATGAGAACCAATTGACCAAATGCATACCTCTTGAGATCCGATTTATCCCAGCCCACTGCAGACTTGTAAAAAGAATATTGACAAGCCAGATAATCGCCGAATATCTCAGTATACGTCTGGGGGCAAACACAGCATTGTACCTTGCCCGAAGACGAACCGCTACGAACCGCTCGTAACTGATAGCAGCCAGTGTCATAAAGGCCACTCCATAACAAATGTAGAAAGCATTTGCATAGACAATTCTGACAAAGCAGGGAACAGAACGATGCTGATTTTCCATGAGTCGGTACATGATGTAACCCGGCTGAACTATAAGACCAACAACGGCATCCGAGAGGGCCAAACTTGCAATGAAAAGTTTTGATGGTGTTCGAAGCCGGAATATTATAGCAGCAAAAATTATAAGGTTGCAAATAACAGCAAGAGGGGCTGTTACTATATTGATTAGGGCTGTTACAAGGTTCATCGTATAACGCTCAGATACTTCGTGAAAAGAAGGATCGGGAAGGTGGTAACATGATGACTCTAGACTTTCCATCGAAGAGTTATAAGCCATGAGTCCCCTTAAAATTTTCACTTGGTGTCGCAGATGGTACTGTATACTGATAACGCTATGTGGAAACTGAACAAATGCACTTTAAAAAAAATGCCGATATAACTTTGAGAAGACTTTTAAAATGAGGTCAAAGTAAACAAGTTTTATTGACTGAGCTGAAAAATACATTTCGCTGATAAGATGCACATGTCGCACTTTGCAATACCCCGGAAACGCGCTTATCAATAACACTTGTCGCATTTGTTAACGCAAGAGCTGTCGTGCGTTGTAATTTCAGACTATCTCAGTTCGTAATACGATGAGCTGCCGCACTTTAATTTGTAAAACGCTTGTTCACACTTTTAATGCAAGAGCTGTCACACTTTTTAATAACACCTGTCGCGTCCTATGTTATTAAAAGCTCAAAAACAAAAAAAAAAACCCCAAAAAAACACGCAGAAGTCCTATCTCACTCAAGAAGCAGGAAGAGGCCGTAACTTTGTATTCCCCTCCCCCCCTCCTCCTTACTCTTAGTTCACTCACCTTACGCTTCATAAGTCTTCTTGAACGGAACAAAGCACGGCGGGACTTCTTTATCTGATAGTCATCGTTTCGCGCTACAGAATCTGAAAAAACTGAGGGCTCCCGTTATGATTAAATTGAGTTAGATTGGCGTCCAATTGGAACTATACACGTTATCATCCCTTGCCCTCGGAAAATTTAATGTAAAAACCCAGGTGCTCCCAACCTGAATTGGGGGAAACTAGAAACACTGGCTTTTCTAAATTCCTGCTCAAATCCATCTATTTGTTGCTGGGAAAAGAGAGAGATTCTTCATAAAGTCAAAGATCTCCTGAAGAAAATAGTTTGCTGGTGAAACTCTCATAAACGCTTTGTATGCTAATTTGTACAATTATTATAATGATTCTCTTTCATATTTCCCAGTGTTTTTTTCATGTCTTGACTATTTATTTTGGGTTTCAAAGTAATTTTCAAAACTGACAGCACACGTCAAGTGAACGTTTGACATACGATATTTTTATAACTTACTCGATTGATGTTAGGTTTTTCATCAAAGTTTCAGGTTGTTAATTTTCGCTTTATCACAAGCACTTATTCTGGTCTCTTTTTGAGCCCATACAAAACGACTCTGAAATGACTTTACATCAATGAAATCTGGAATCAGCTTTCCACTATGGCCGTATTATCATCGGAGACGATCAAACGGAATATCCATGTCGTCAGCTGAAGGAAACCACCAGCAGTTTCCGGTCATAGCTGCTTTTAAACAACAAGTGACCGCCACTAGCAGCGTAACATTTATCATTAAAATTTTGAAAGGTAGAGGAAAAGGTAGAACTATCTGCGTGTTTAGGAAAAATAGTTTACTCGCGATAATTCTAGTCACACTGCAACTAAATCATGCAGCTTAGAGCTATCGACATAGGCCTTTTTGGAAGAGAGTCTTTGCCAAGGGAATGTTATGTATTAAAACTTAAAACGGTTCACAAGGCACAAGGTATAAGGAGAAAAACTAGGTACATGGCGATCATGTTCCATCTACGAAAATTAATTAAGTATGTTACCATTGTGACAGTTTGCGAATTAGTTTTAAATTATCCTGAGCTTTGCGCTAAGAATTAAGAAAGAAAAGAGCTGGAAAGCTCATTGCCAATTGCTAAGAAAATCCTTGAAAGCGAGAGATCCAGAAACATTATGATTATCGAGGACAATTAAATTTATAAGGACATTCATGCCCGCCTCTAGATAAGTTTAACGAGTACATGTTAATATCCTCTTTAATAGCGCTTCCTGTTTTGATGATTTTGGTTTAAAGGAATAATTTTCCACTAGCTTAAAATGTTTGCTAAAAAGAGAACAGATTCACCAGAGATTTTCTAGGAACACATCTTAATAACAGAATATTAATCGCTATAGCAAGATCGTGACCACTAGGAAGTACTACAAAGTTTTAATTTCTTGCAGGTGACTAGAGGAAGTTTTTAATTAGCGAAAAACTCAAATATACGAAAAACTAGTTAATGTAATATAATCATACATTCACCTATGGTGAGGAAGTTTTAATTTAACAGAAAATAGACTGAGCTAGACGCACCTTTCAGTTAAGTGACAGAACATGTTTAGACATAACTCTATTAAGTAATAACTGTAAAAATTCCTTCTACACCTTCACTTTGAAAGAAAGGTGGTCTGTTTCGTTCACTTGAATATGCGAGAATCCGATTTGATTCCATTTAGGTTTATTATTATTCTCCATTTAACAAGAAATATTTTAGTCTCCGTCATTTCCCATGTTTCAAGGTGAATATACTGTCGACAGTCCTACCCGTAGGCAAAGTTAACCTACACTCCTGGTCCTAATATTCTGATCAAAATATTTGTTACCTTTTTACGAAACTTTCGATTTTTCCAAACACAAATTATTGGGTTTGAGCAGGAATTAAGAAACGCCAATGTTTCTGCCCAGCTGTAAAAATTATATGTTTCTAATCTCAACCCCAGAGTCTGATGGTAAAATGTCACAAGAAGAACAGGAAAGTTTAAAATCAAGTAAACTCCAACAATGATGGAGATGTCCTTTGCCACCTTGACTTCTCTTTGTCTTCTTAGATTTATAGAAACCTGATGTTCTGCCTGAAGCTGTCGGCGATATCGACGCACAGTAAATAGTGTATCAATCTGAGTTGCTGTCGAAAAAAGGAGAGAAATCCACCATAGAATAAGTTGAAGACCTCTTACCTCTTGATTTATCTTGGCCCATTGTAGAGCACTCAGTAAAATGTTCACTGTCCATATTCCCATGAGGTATTCTGCCACACGCTTTGGAGAGAAAAATGTGATATATCTGCCAGGTAACCGAACTGCTACAAATCTCTCAAAGCTGACTGCGGTTAAGGTCATGCAAGACACACCAAAACATATGTAGAAAGCCACACTATACAGAACCATTACAAAACATGGAACTCTTTGATGTTGGTTTTCTAAGAGCCTGTAGCTGATATATCCTGGTTGGGCTGTTAAGCCGACTAATACATCAGACAGCGCCAACGAGGCTATGAGTACATTGGAGGGAGATCGAAGACTACTGCAATTGATGATAGCAGCAAGAATCAGTACATTCGCGATAATAGCGATTGGACCAGCTAGGATGTTGATGACAGCCGTTATGAGATTCGTTGTGATACGTTCTGGAGCTGTTTGAAAAACTGGATCTGGAAGATGAAAGCAGTAAGAATTTCTTATGGACTCGTTAAGATTCATTTAATACGATGTGAAAGCTGCGGCTCCCTACAAAAATCTTTGGCAAGATATCTCAATGGGTTTTAGCTTCAGCGCACGATTTCTTATGATCAGCCTGAAAGTTAATTTTAACTGTTTTCCTATGGCACCCTACAAAAATCTTTGCCAAGATATCTCAATGGGTTTTAGTTCAACGCACGATTTCTTATGATCAGCCTGAAAGTTAATTTTAACTGTTTTCCTGTTTAGTAAAGCAGAAAAAGGTACTCTAATATCTTATTATCATAATGGTACGTGAGAGAAACGCTGAAAGCGCTTTAAACGTCACCAACAAAATAAATATATTGAAGCGGAAACTCAAACTTCATAGCAACAAGCCTGTTTATATTAGATATGATGAATATATGAAGTTCGTATGTTTTGAACTGCGGTTATAGATACGTATGATGCACGATCCTCGCAGGAGAGAGCGCTATTTATGCAAAAGCGAAAATCAGACCTGAAAAAATCAGGCCTGTACGGGATTCGAACCACTGACCTCTGCGATACTAGTGCAGCGCTCTACCAATTGAGCTAACAAGCCAGTGGGCTTGTTAGCTCAATTTTTCAGGTCTGATTTTCCCTATTGCATAAATAGCGCTCTCTACTGCGAGGATCGTGCATCATACGTACCTGTTTATATTCTCAGACAGGGAAGCAAATTTTTATTTTTTTCATTTTCTTCTTAATACTTGGATAAACTGTTATTAGCAGCATACGTAATTAAGCTTACTTGTTTGAAGTTGAGAAGAATCATTATCAACCTCAACAAACTTTAAAGTAAAAGTCCTCGCAGAGATTAACCAGTTTTGGAGAAAATTGAATTCGTGACAATCTCCGAGTAATTAAAAACAATCAATATTACCTTTTATCGCAGATACGAAATTATCTTCAAATATTTTAATTTGTAATTCAAAACTGAAGTCTTCCAGCCTTTTCGCGTGTGACGAAACTATGGGTTTGTTTAATTGGTGACGTTTAATTTCAAAGTGAATTTGCATTAAGAATGCCTAAAATTATACAAAAGTAAAGTTTGGTCAGAGATGCCAACATATCTTATAGTTTTCAGATTAGCACGCGCCTTGAAACCTCTTCAGCTTTGTCGGAAACTTCGCCAGCAAGTTAAGCGTACGATTTTCGCGAGTTTTAGCTTTCAGTCTTTAAGTCGCAATATTTGGGGTCGTTAGCGTTTTTCTCTTTTCCTGTTTACCGTAAATGACCGTTTCAACTTTTTTCACTCGAATAAACGTGCCTGCTTTTAAAGAGATTTCCATTTCCGGTTCCGAACAAGATGGGATAAAACGTCAGAGATAGTGAAGGAAAGCTGGTAGGGTTAATTTTCTAACAGCCAAAAAAAGTCAAATACATTATTAATTTCCTTACTAAGAGAAAGCGATTGACTTTGGCGATTGACTTTTAAGCCCTAAAGCAGCCGGTGATAAGATTGATTTTATATCTATATATTTATAGAACAGTTGTCTACAATGTTTTTTATTTCAGTTTGCTCTAAACGACGTGTAGATGAGCGTGTTAAATAAAACCATCCAACCTCTATTCTCATAGTGTTCTCTTTTAAGATCGATAGTTTTTTTTTCCCTGAAATTAAATGTTAAAGGGGAAAAAAGGAGAATTAAATATACACAATAAATAAAAATGGTCGATGCAGAATGTCGCCAGTCTGTCTTACGGCTGTTTGAAATGTAGCCTCAATGATCATCACCAGGGGCCTGTTTCTAGAATTCCCGGTAACTTAACGGGTCCGTAAAGCTGTTCTGTTTTCATTCAAAATGGGGTTTCCGAAAGTTTTGAAAACGATACAATAACTTGTCAGCCAAAATACAAATTGGACTGGTCGCGGTGACAGAACCTGCTTCTCGTTTCTCTGGATTTGTGTTTTAAAATATGGCTTCGGGCCCAAGCTGAGGAATAACAGAATTCTTAGTTTACTTCAAATCCACCCCTAATCCACCCTAAATCCACCTTTGCTGCTGGAGGATTAGTGAGGTGAGACACGCACTTTGCTGTCCATGGAGTTAGATCTTCCTCTTATCAAAATTTTATTATTATATCCTCTTGAACAAAACAGAAAATCAAGTATACTATCCAAAATTTAGAGTTATCATGTATGCCCTTATGGTTTCCATGGAAATTGTTGGTATCAGTGTGTAATGTATTTAACTTTTGAGAAAAATAATTGAGTGTTCTGTCGATGTCATATTGACGTATTGTAACTTGATCAAAGTCAGCGACAGTTTTGTCCTTTGATAACTTCATATTCATGTTTGAACTGTGCTTAACTAATTCAAATCTTAAGGCTAGTCACTGGTCATGTAAGCATAGTTCGGCGGTCACTGCAAAATAAATTGATTGTTGTTGTGATCTATCTGTAAAAAGGGGGGATCATATCAGTTCTTGATAGGTTTTCATCTGTATTTCACCTCCTGTTAATTTGTTTGTCTCAATCATTCTGTTGTTTCTTTTTTTGAGGGTTATTTGAGACTGCAACGAGAATAATTTCGTCTTAACAGCGTCTGCCCAGCTACGATCACTGAAACCCTACCTTTTTAAAAATAACTTCCTGGGGTGACCAAGTATTAAACTACGCGAGAGCACCAACTGTGAGGTAAAAAAGTTCAAATTTCGTTTAAACTTTTTGAGTGTGCCTCGGGCATGAATTGTCAAAATGAGGCAAGGAAAAGACATGTGTAATATTATTATTTCATAGCGCGACAAATACTCTGTCCTTTATGATAAATACTTGGATAAACTGTTATTACCAGGATAGGTAAATAAGCGTACATGTTTGAAGTTGAGAAGAATCATTATCAACCTGAAAAATTCCTCACAGAAATGTTAACCAGTTTTAGAGAAAATTGAATTCGTGACAATCTCCGAGTACTAAAAACTAAACAATATTACCTTTTGTCACAGATACCAAAATATCTTCAAATATTAGAATTTGCAATTCAAAACTGTCTTCCAGCCTTTTATGGTCCGTTTCGCGCTAGACTGTTATCAGGAGTTCTTCCTTGTGCCTCGTGTTTGTCTTTAACACGACGGAAAACGTTGGAAACTTTTAATTCTGTGATATTTATTGTTGCTGTTTGTCCTCAATGTCGAGTGCAATTTTCGAGGATGTTGGAGTCTTTTTTTAGCTTACCGTATTATTGCGTCACCGTTTTTTACTCGAATAAAAGTTCCTGCCTTTAATTAAGGGGATTTCCGTTTCCGCTTCCGAACAAGATGGGATAAGCGTCAAGGAGTAGTGAAGGAAAACTGTTAGGGTTAATCTTCTCACAATGAAGAAAATTAAAATTCATCACTATTTTCCTTACTATGAGAAATTCAATTGACTTTAAACCCCTATGGTTTCATACCAGTCGGTCATAAGACTAGTTGTATATTCATATATTTGTAGAACAATTGTCTACAATGTTTATGAACCCTGAAGATATTTTAGGTTGATGTAAACGATGTGTAGATGAGCGTATTAAATAAAACTATCCAACCTCTATTCTCATAGTGTTCTTTAAGATCGATGGTTTATTTTTTTCCTGAAATCAGATGTTAAAGAGGAAAAAAGGACAATTAAATAAACACAATCATTAAAAGTAGTCGATGCGGTTGTTTCACCTTTAGCCTCAATAATCGTCACCAGGG